TTTAATTATTATTATTTGCTGAACAAAAACGTGGATAGATATAAATTATTTAGCAAGAAATTATGTTTTAGTGAATCATTAAAACGGTGATGAAGATAGTATCTGTGTAGACCGCACGCTATAGTATTACTAGCACCGACTAAAATTCGTATGTCTGTCATACCGATATCTTGGCCGTTGCGGTACAGATCGACACAAAACGACGGCGCTTTCTGCTTCAACGAGCAAGTTTCTCTTTTTAAAATTATTCCGGCCATATATATATATATATATAAAACAGACGATGCACTACTTCGGGCATATAATTAGATTTTAGGGTAGGTTGGTAGAGGTCGTGATGAGTAATAAATTGAATCGGATATTCGCACGCAAAACAATTGACTGCAATTCCCTTTTGCGTTTGCTTGGTTGTCAAGGAGACTAATTGAAGCAGCATCACAAATTTTTTTTTCCAATCGGCACCCTTGGCTACAACTATAATAACCTGCATGCTTTACACAAAGCACATTTAAATTTTAAAAATGTCGAATACACTTCTTTAGCTCAGTAGACTAACAAAGACAATCCAAAGAGAAGATCCCGAAATTCATAATAAAATTCACTGCCTTTATCATCACAGTTAATAATGTTACGTCTCTGTGCGTTTGTTAATTTCCAGTAAAAATTCTTTCAGGAAAATTTCAGCGATACGAGTCATTTCTTAATTAAAACTAGTTTATTCTTTCTCGATACAACTTTGCAATACAATTAATTTCCACAGTCACTTTGACTTAAACACACGCTATAATTCACAACGATTCACGCACTTTTACTTACGACTCGACTCGATTATCTGTCTCCATATCTCCCTATCTGCAATTGTATCTCTCCGCTTTATTTGCTGGGCTTATATACTAAAATAAAGGGTGCCTAGAAAAGACTAGAGTCGCCAGGAAAAGTCAAGATCCTTCGAGAATCTCATGACGTGTCACCAGCGTCACGTGACTTCCGCTGTCGTAACAATAATTTATAGGTTCATACAGTTGACTATGTAGGAATATATCTTTGAGAATCAGTTTTTCACATGATTCAATCTATAAGGATTTATCAAGAAAAAATGTAAACATAACTTTAAAATATCCAGAATTCAAAATGCTAATCAAGCAATACTTAAAGGAAGTGACCAAATATACATTAAAAATGTTTTCGTGAAATACTAGAAATAAGACAGCCATTCTCCATACATATATTGCTACTAGATTATAATTAATTTTAGAAAATATGTTCATAAAACATTTACTTAGATATAATTTTGAGAAGAAAAATTAATTTATTTCCCATCATATGATGGTCATTCAGCTTGTCCCAAAATAAAAGGTTTAAATACTACAAAAAGTTGATCTTGACACATTAGCATAAACACTCAAATTTATGACAAAATATCATTAATTACTATTATCTGAATATTGATCATATCTCATTGGTAAACAATGCACTAAAGACTCAAGTTTTTAAAGAAGGTACTTGCGTTAAACAATGATTCCAAAGTTGGGGTCAGATGTGGCCAAGTAGATAGCATGCTTTAACTATGGACTCGTGTTTCGCTTCTCGTTACTACAAAAAACGTGGGGCCATGGGTGAGCTAAAAGAGTTGACAGTGAAATTTTAATATTCATTTAGACAGAGTAGCCCAATAGTTAGTGTGTATTGTTGACTATCTACCTGCTGTCTAGTCTATTGATTGAAAATTTTATTTTTGAGCACAAAGTTGCACAATGGGTTGTGTGTGCTCTGGCCACTGTGGGTATCAAAAGCCAATTTTTATTGTTATAAGCCTTTAAAAGTGCTGCTGAGCCGCTAAAGGGAGAGGGGAAGATATCTCCAGTGTAGCTTTGCATGGAAATTATAAAACAAACAAGCAAAGTAGGAAAAATTATCTTAATCTTCAAATGACCAATTAGTTTTTACCTTTTCTATGTATGGTTTTCATCTGGTTTATTAAGTTGCATTTTGCAAACTCAATTTCATTTCAGTAAGAATGTTCACACATACATGTTTCTAGCCATGTGTGTGTAGTTTCAACAATAAAAAATAAAATTTTTGTGGCTACATTTCTTTTGCTCTAGCTACCTATTTTTGTGGGCCGTCTCTCTTCCCTTTGGTGTCACATTTACATCCTTGTACAAAATACTGCTTTATAGTAGAATATATTATGTGAAAGTGGAAAGTAATATTTTCCACTGATGAGTCAGATGATACCTTATGTATATACTCCCTGTTTTTTATATTGGAATGACTATCTGTGACATAGGTTGCATATGCACACTGAGAGAAATGACACTACTTTTCCTTTTTGGTAATGCTTGTTCTCTCAGCTTGAGATAGTAGTCTTTATAGTGTTCTACAACAACAGCAGAGATTTCCTAAACTCAGTCAAAAGCACTGTCAAATCATTAAGTACACTTATTAACTATGATTGTGTCTGTGCATGTAATAGAGAGTGCACTTTGTTACTTACGCTTTGTTCAGCATCTTTATTCCTCCACACTCAGAATCAGAGGAATGATACTGAATCTGACTGAAAAAATAAGAGTTCTGGGAGTATTGCAGAGTAAGGATAGCTAGATATAGTATGGAGAAAAATGTAGGTGATTTGTTTGTTTTTATGTAGGTTTCTCTTTTGCTTAACGAGTGCATTTTGCTGTGCTCTTCTTAACTCTTATGGTGCCAAGTGTGGCCCAATGGTTAGCATGCCAGACTGTGTATCTAAAGATTTATAGTCTACAGCTCTTACCATTAAAAAAATATCATGATCCAAACTTTAGAGTTGTAGGTGCATTATAAGAGTAACAGTCAAATCCCACTAATCAATTAGAGTATCCAAAAGCTTGTTGGGGAGGTGTTGACTAGCTGCCTTCCCTCTAGACTATCACTTCGAAGTTAGGGACAGGTAGTGGAGATGTCCTTTAGTAGCTTTGTATGAAATTCAACAAACAACAACTCTTGTGTGATTTATATTTAAAAATTTTTGTACAAGTAGAAATGGCATTTCTCGCGAGTCAGGAAACTTACAAACAAGATGAGTAGTTCAGCGCCAAGGGTGTATGGCTGTCTGAGCAAATAGTTGGGTTTTGGAGAAGACC